CACACACACACACACACACACACACACACACACACACACACACACACGGGTCCACTCGACTGACACACAGGACTTAAAAGACTCAGATTGGAAAGGTCGTTGTGTATTAATGGTTAGATGAGAGAGTTACACTGTGTCTCTGCGTGCATCCGCTCCACCGAGCAGAAAATTAAAATGGAAATCCAGGCCTTGACAGAGTCAAGGGTCCATTGACCAGTGTGCAGGGGTCACCTCGAGTGAAGAAACAAGATTTACTGGCTGTGTCTCAATTCAGGGGCTGGGTCCTCATAAGTGTGCATTTGTCGGCCGCATATTCTCATAATATTACAACTTTATTTGCATATTATGACTTTATTTTTGTAACAATAATAAAAAATATGTGTTATCTCCGTTGTAGATACTGGAGCCAAAGCCAAATTATTGTTTTCTTTATTTACGTTTACCTTTTTAACAGTGAATTTATTCTTCCAGTAAAAAGAYGTGTAAACACGTCCCGAAGCCTTTTAAGTCCGACATGAAACTGATCATTATGGTAACAGGGGAGCACGTGGTCACGCAAACCCACGTGAGGCCGACCAGGCGAAGGCTAGACCGTCTCATTTCGCAGCAGTTTTGAGCATCCTACCTGGCCCAGCAAGGATGTGGCCTACGTGGCCCAGCTAGGCTGGGTCCTCATGAGCCTCATGAGCCTCGGACAGGCCTGACGAGAGGACAGGAACTCTGTCACAAACTGAACTCTATTTAGGCCATGACAGGTCATTTTAACCGTGGAAGAGAACCACTCAGTTCTCTTAATCAGATAATGGACAGAACAATCTCTTCTGTTCGTGATTCAATTGTTGTTTAACTAAGAATGTTTATGCATTTGTTAAATCATAATAATGACTGTCACAGGAAAAGTGGAACCACTTCTTTTTTTATCGTGCCTTAAAGATTTATAATGGCATAAAAAAATCACAGAGAATCTGATTACGTTTTCATTGTGTTTTTATGTAAATCACTGGTTTTATTTTACTGTAAACACAGTAATATAATTGTGGATTTTTCCTGAGAAAATCTTTCATTTATCTGGAATAACAGAAGGTTCAGAACTGATTATAAAACAGAAATGTTAATTAATCATCATAAATGTTTTGCAGTGATTTCTCTTAGAGTCTATCAGAAGAAAGCTGAAAAGAGGTTATCATTTCATGTTGTTGAACAACCACAGAATTTTAACCTTGGGCTGGCACCGGCTGGCAAATCTTTATCTTTCTTTCTCTGACTCATCTCTAAGCCTGAGGGCGGAACCAAAGTTCATCCATTTCTTTTACTAACCCGGACGGCTTTGAGCGACATACTCTTCTTCCTGATTCCAACCTAGGAAGACAGCTGAGATTCTCACCGGAGAAACGTCAGCTTTGGCTTAAAGTCTGATCCCATGAGCTAATTAGGGAAGACTTCACAGCAAGGGACCCGGCACGCCTGCCGGTGGTTCCAAATCGAGGCTTCAAGCCTCTAAGTGTGTTTTTAACTCCTGATGGGAGATTTTATTTTGGAAGGAGGAACCGGATACGGCTTGAATTTTTCTGGCTTGGACTGAAACAAGACGAGAGTTACCTGGAAAAACACCTGTTCGCCAATGACTGGTGAGCAAGCCGACATCAGTTCCCTGACTGGTCGGAGGTGAGCCAGCTCCTACGCCGAGGGTGCCTTAAGAAGACATCATTAGGTAAAAGCTGATGTGTTCGGAGTGACGTGTCATGTGGAACCTGAGCTTGGAAAAGACGTGCAGTTCCGGTTGACCCACACTCTGATAAAAGTAAAAGTCATAGTAACATACTAATCTTACTTTTCTACTTTCCTTGTTCTTAATTTGCCAAAACTTAAGCTARAAGTGCCAGTAAAATTGTTTGGTTGTTAACATCAGAACTGACGTTTTTACTGTTCTATATAAGTAATCTGAGTTGATGTGAATTGAAATTCGGACRCGGGTTTTATCTCATTTAACTCGGACGCTTGCTATAGGAATGACCACAATCAAGTGTAACTTATGATCTGTTCAATTTGTGTAAATAAATGATTGCATAGTCTTTTATGAATCAACTTGAACYYGTCTGAACGTTCACTTGTGTCACTTTTCTCTTCGCACAGTCAAGAAATTAACAAGTAATGAGAAATACCTTGGTAAAAGTTTACTCATAACCTTGTGTATGAGAGATGTGGGAAAAGCTTAATTCACCTTAAGCTCACTCTTACAATGATTTATGGCAGCTGATTACATCACCTCCACTCCGCCTGGACCGCCAAACCTCTTCAGCACATCAACTCAGACCAGATGCATTTAAAAACGGTCTTGTTTCCTACTTCTTACAGTCTTACAGTGACTGAAAGGGTCAGGCATATAGGCATTTTGACTGCATATAGGTAGAATACTGTTTAAAGGGATCCACGATTAGTTGTAACATTTAACTTTATTTGATAAACATTTATTTTAACTGTAAAATAAAGACTGTAAAAATACTGTAGGAAGTTTAGTTTTGTAAATTTTTTAAAATATATTTTAACACAGCTGGAGCCATTTTATTTACATGCAAAGCATTCTGGGCAACTGATGACATCAACTAGGTCATCGGTGCGAGGCTGCTAGCGAGCTATATCCATCCTGAAGGTTAATCTTGGACAATATCTGATGATYGRCTCTTTTAAATGAAACCAGAGAGCGTTGACAGAGAGGAGAAGGTAGAAATGACTCAGCCTGTAACTGAAAATATGGATGGAGGACAACAGAGCTGCTTCATGGAAGAAGAACCTCAGCTTAGCCTGTTAGCCTTTGTGCTAGTGTCAGTGGCCTTGATTTTATTTATTTTATTTAGCCTTAAACATTGGTATTATTTAAGTTTTTTTGTGTTTTCGATGTTGGGATGTATTGTTGTTGTGGGCTGTGTACGTGGATTTTATTTTGTTTTCTTTCATGTGCAATGGATTTGCTCGGCTGAACTAGATCCTCACTAATTATTGGACTCTAATGATTGGACATTATCAATGAGGCGTGGGGATAAATAGAAGTGCCAGGAGGTGGTGAGGAGGAAGGAAAAGAGGGCATACAGAAACGATCGAGAAGAGAGGAAGACATGGGGAAGAGAAAGGAGGATTTGTGAGCCGGCATTTAAAGGACACGACACAGTGGATCAGGAGAAACGAAGCACTGTGACGGGTTGGTGGAGGAGATCGGGACGCAGCCAGGTGCAGACCCAGCTGGAAAATCAACGCTC